GTTTCTGAGATGGTGTGAATCAGGCCAGAAGCGCAACTGCCTCTGGAAGTTGGATTAAGTAGCGTGTGGTAAATATAAGGATGATTCTCTCCCCTCCCCACCCTGTCTGTTTGCTGTTAATTATCACTTCTCTTTTGGATTCTTCTTCGTGTTGACTAGTTGCACAGTACATGATGTGCCAGGAGAGTGTTAATACACTGCTGATAGCGGCAGAATATTATGGGATCAATCTTTTTTGGTTTTTTAGATTGAAACATTTCATAGTTAATGGCTCTATGGCTTATTCTCCTAGGAAAGCAAACATTCAGTCTGTGTTTCATGTCTCGAGAGGTAAATTAAAAAAATTAATGTGTTCATAGCTTATTATTGGCTTCCCAGTCATGCATTCCAGCTGGTCTCTCTTGCTGCTTGTGAGTGGCTCTTCTCCCAGTTAGACCCGACCCAAAATCTCCGTATGAGATTCAGACCCCATTCTTGTATTGTATGGTTGCACTGTATTGGAGACAGGGCACATTCAGTCACACGCTTGTTTTTACGCGACAGCGTCAGTCTTCCTTTCACTTTTGGCTCAAGAAGATTTTTTTTCTTTGAAAAAGATTGAAGTCTTGATGTCACATGCAGAGAGCAGGTAAAAGGTGCTCCCTGCATTAACCTCAAAATCTGGACATCTACTGTGTTTACCGCAAAATAAGACAGGATCTTATATTCATTTTTGCTCCAAAAATGCATTAGGACTTATTTTCAGAGGGTGTTTTATTTTATTTTCATGTACAACAATCTGCATTTATTCAAATACAGTCAAGTCCTCTTCTTCTGGTTGCTGCATAAGGGTGGCGAGCGGGCTTTCACTTAACTGGGTCTTATTTTTGGGGTAGGGCTTCTGTGACAAATCCTACTAAGGCTTATTTTCAGGTTAGGTCTTATTTTCGGGAAAACGAGTAGTTGCAGGGCCTTGCAGTGCACCAAAATCAGCCAGCTTTGTCCCAGAAGCAGAGCCTGTGTACCTTGGCTTCTCAGGTTGTTGGGTCAGAAAAACAAAGGTGCATCAGCTTTAACGCGTATTGTGGTTCATTTGAATTCTGTCTTGTGTGTAGGTGTGGCATTAGTAATGTGTGTCAGTGCAGCACCCTGGATTTTTTTTTCTTCTTTTTCTCTCCCTCCCTGAACCCTGCGTAATAGAAATTCAGAGGAGAAAGCATTTCCAGCTGTTGGGTATAGTGAAGGATGATGGCTGCAGGATGCTGAACAAATAAGGCTCCTATAATAGTTTCTCACCAAGATGACCAGGCTGTGTTCTGGGAGCAAGAGAGTAGCCGTCAACGCAGCATCTGCTTGCCTTCAGGTTTGAGTGTGTGTGTGTCTGTGTGTGTGTGTATGTGACACAACTGCAGCTTTTCTGCATTTAGAGACTTTTCCCACAGTAAGTCAGCCTTCCTGGAAACAGGAAACAAAACAGTCTGTCTCTCTAGTGCAGAAGATGGGGGCTGGAGGGAGTAGAAGGGGAGACAGGATGGAGAGGGTGTCTCTCTTCCATTGCTTCTGCCTGGTAAAAGGAAGCCACGGGGAAATGGGGTGGTGAACTAGACTTTGTCCACGAGGTGGCCCTGCAGTGAAGAGAATGAAGTGGTGGCTGCTTTTGCAAAGCCCGCCCGCCTCCCCCCCCCAGTGGTGGTGGTCTCAGCCTTCCGGTGTCTGTTCCTGATGCAGCTTTGCAGAGCTGCTTATCTAACAGCGTTGACTGCCGATGGACTCACCTATACAGAGTTGAACTATCTTGAACTCACATATACAGAGACGATATGTATTCTCCCCCAGCGTATTGCTAAAGACGAGGACTGATAGGTCAAATCTTTGCTCAGTTCTGCAGTAAAACCACAAATGAGGAAGAGGAAATTGTCCACCAGCTGCTGGGAGAGAAGTTTAAGGTCAGAGTGGTCCCCGGGAAAGGAGGATTTTCAGATTCTCCTGGAGCGGTTTTGCCCCTGTCTCTTTCTTTTCTTCTTGCTTTATTCTTCATGCTCAGTCTCTCTTGATCCCAGGATGGCCCTCGTTTTCTGCCCTGATCCTGCATGCACATCCTTCTGAGGTGCATAAAATGAGTATCTGGCTTGCAGGGGGACAAAGTGTTATTGGCAATATTATGCCCATAGAGTGCTCTTGCGCTATGGGGCAGAGTAGAAGTCAAAACAACCACAACCTATTGTGAAAACATGGAATTTGCAGGTCTTTCACCAAGAAGGACTCTTATCCTTTGACCCTCTTGGCATCCTGAAAATGGCCACTGCTGCAGGGGTTCCTGTGCTCTTTTCTGTTTGCCTCCTTCAAAACAAGGCCATTGCAGGATTCTGTGCCCTTTGGGAGCTCTGCTTAAGATAAAGGTAGGAAAGGAAGCAGAAGACGGCGTCTGGTTGGTGATGCAACAAGACCTTCTCCTTGGTGGGCACCATAGCTCTGGAGGACACTTTCCAGAGAAGCTCCTTTGGATGTTGCTGCTGTTGGTGGTTCGACTGTGTTCGCGTGCCTTGTGTGACTAATTAGGGCCATGATCCAAAATCGAGGAAACTAGTTCCGTAAGCCTAACAGTGGAATTTTTTTCTTCAGATGTTCTTCTTCTTCTTGTTCCTCTTCTACTATTACTACTATGATGTAGAAAACAGCTTTCAGATTAGAAGAGATTTGAAAAGCAGAGTGGCATGGGGTGCCAGTTACGTAAAGGGGGGAGGTGGGAAGCAAATCCCTCTGCTCTTATTGTGTGCTGGCAAAGTTGCTTCTGGCCTGTGCTGCTGATCCTAAAAATTAATAACCTCCTAAAATGTCCTCTGATTAACAGCCCTGCTTGCTTAAGTCCAGCAAACTCAGGGCTCTAGATATGTAACTTTACAACCTCAGTCCATTTCAGTCTATTTCAGTCATCTTCTTTTCCTACTATGTTACACTTTTCAGAAGAATATTATTGTCCTTTTCAAGGAGTATTTGAACAATACAGTTCTTGGCCAGGGGTTTTTACTTTACTTCTAACTCCCATGATCATATCTTTGGTGCTTTTACTTCTAACTCCCATGATCATATCTTTTTACTGAGAGTGCCATGCAAATGTTAAAATGAACAGATTCAGCCCAGAATTATTCCCCCCTAGACTTAATGTCACTTTTTCTCCCATCTTCCGAGGACTGCTCTAGACTTTGCTACCCACAATTTGTGACTCTTCACTTAACCCTGCATTCTACTTAGGCGGCTTTTCCCCATGAGGACAGTGAACAGAGAACAATTACTTCCTTTTTACAGCTCATTTTTGAGTCTTCCCTAGGTGGAGGGGGATCAGGGTACACCATCACAGTAGAGCTAATAGATTTCTCATTTTCTTTCCCTGCAGAAAATCACCAACCACATTTTGGGAAGAAAAGTGCCTTGGGAGTGAGGATGAAACCGATGAAAGGAAGAAAAGCAACCTTCCATTTCAATAAAATGGTTTGTGTGCCATATCATTTCCAGCACCTTCCCTATGTAGGCTGACGTTTGTCTCAATGGACCACTAAAGACACTTCTCCAGTTATACAAACCAAGCAACTTCATGAATTTGAATCATTTTTAATGCGCAACCTTTCCAGCTAATGTAACTTTTTATATATTTGAAAATTAGTGATCTCATGAAGATTTGAAAAAAAAAGAAAAGAAAATAATGTGCTGGTACTTCTCCAGATCAAAGTAGTTTAGAATTAATTTATAAGAACAATTAAATCAATGGATTTTTGTGTGTGAGTAGCTTGTTTATTTATTTTTATACTTAAATTCTAAGGTTTTTGTACTTCTAAATAGTCAAAATTTGTTACCCTGCATTTTTGTTTTTCTAGTGCTGAAAAATTAAATACCTTATGCCTCTTTTTTTTCTGAATGCCATTACTAATAATTTTCTTTTGGTGATATTGAATGTGAGAGGGAGGGACACACCCGTCTCTGCTCTAAGATGCATGCTTCATTAAAGGTGTTCTTTTTCGTGATGGAAGTCCTACTGAAAAGGCGTACAGCAGTCAGGGTGGGCCTTCAATCGGTTTCTGAACCCCAGCTTTCCCTTATCATTGGCCGTGCTGCCTAGAAAGCTCTCAGACAGAACAATAAGATCGAGTGAGTCTTCTTTTCATAGCTGTGAACCGAGGCGATAGACCGCAGCACCCCCTTTCACTTATGCACAGATGCCTAAGTGTGCAGGAGAAGAGAGCTAAACATAGTTAAGTGGAGTTCAGCTTCAGAGGACATCAAAAATAGCCCAGCTGGTAGAGTGTCAACAAAAAGATATTTCTCTGTTCCAGCGAGGGCTGGATGGATGGGGCATGTGTGCCCGTTAGTTTGAAGAAGGGCTTCGACATTTCCATGGCAAAGAAAGAAGGGCTGCCCCAGGATGCATGAACTAATAGGCATCAGATGGATCATAGAAAATGTAATGCATGTTTAATGAGGTGCTACTGTATCTTCCATGCCAGAATTATAGTTGTACAAGTACTGATTGAATAGAGATACTTTATTGTTGTTACATGCTGCCAAGTTCGAAACAATGTGCAGTGATCCTGATAAGGCTTTCAAGATAAAGTGAGATATTTAGGGAGTGGTTCCACACCCCCGATGAGTTTTCATGGCAGGCCAGGGATTTGAACCCAAGCCTCTTGGCCCTTAGTTCATCACTCTCTCCATGACACCACAGTGGGTATCCTGTATACTCAATTACATGCGTCGAGAACATGCTGTTTGATTGGAATCTTCCATTTCCTAATACATTTCTGTTTAGCCTGCATAGAGTAAATGATATAATGGGACTTGTAATGACTCCTTCCCTTTAGGAGATTGCTGATAGGTTATGCATGCAAAAACACACCCTCACATGAGAAAAGCAAGGTGGTTAAAAAACGGGCCGGGGGGGGGAGCCATTTCTGTTGATCTTAAATCTGGAGAGGGAGGAAGAGAGAACAAACGAGAATGTTGGAGAATACAGCATGAATTGTATAAACAGGAAACATGACTGACAGCTTGACAGTTAAATTAGAATGTATAACTGTGATCTCTAGTCCGCCTGATATGATCCAAACTGTTGGAGTGAGTTATAAAGTTATCCTTTAGAGAGCAGTTCAACTTCCAGACTGAAATCCCTAACCATTTGTACCTATGTTCGAATGTAGTGATGCAGAAAACAAGCAGCTCAAAAGAGTTTTCAGATGGGTCAGAAGCCCAATCTTTGGTGTTTGCTTTTTACAGTAATCTGGAAGGCGGTGGTGTGATGGAGTATTTCGAGTCCTAGTCTAGAAAACCAGCTGGTGGTCTAAATGTTTTTCCTCTCTCCTCTCCCATCCACTGTCCTTGGGTGTTTTCCTCCCAAAAACAGACAGGAGAAAAACCAGGCTGAGGAGTATTAAATTGTTGTGATGGATCAGAAGTGGCCTGGTTGTTTGATCAGAGTCTGCTTCACTGGATTTTTCTAACCCTGAGGTTCCCCATGCAGGACCTTCCAGTATTGATAGGTTCATAGATGTGACTGACCCAGAAATCAGATAGATCGATCAATCGATCGATCAATCTTGGAAGGCTACAGAATGAGGCCTACAGTCCTCATGAGGAAATGACCGTGACCAGATGCTGCAGCTAAGATGTGTAACCTGGTTGCATGCTGGCCAGAGCCCCTGTTGAACCTTAAGGGGAGCAGGTGGAAAAGAAGAAGGTGGGGGTGGATGGAGAAGAAAAGTACCCGCGTGGTTTGTTGCTTGGATTTCCAGGAAGTGGGGAGAGCAGAAGGCCGTGGGACGCTCCGGAGCGAACATTGAGGTTGAATTGATTGGCAGTCAAGGGGAAGACAGGCCCGTGGCTCCCTTTCTGAACAGATGTGCTTGAGTCTGGGGGTGATGGTGCAGATCACGAGGAACTGCATTTCTCTGAAAGAAATGGTTGGGCCTCGGCACTTCATTGTCTTGAAGCGTGATCTGTACTGTGGACAAGAAGCTACTGTTCGGATAAGCTACTGTTCCTTCGTAGAGGGAAGCCAATCTCCCGGTCAGGAGCAAGAGCACAGCCTTCTGTGCCCCGCCCTTTCCTCTGATTGGGAGATCAGCCAAGAGGGGCGGGGCCAGAGAAGCCTGAGCTCTTGCCGGGACCGGCAGATCTGTTGAGGAGGGGCAGGAAGCAAGCACGCCGAGCCTGGAGAGGGGCCGACTGAGCCCAGAGGCAGCAGGGGAAAGGAAGCAGCAGTACTTGTGTTGCTGCCTTTACAAACCAGGATGAACTGGTTCACGCCCATCTCTGCTGCCACCTTTATGAACCGGTTCACGCCCATCTGAGGGGCAGGAAGCTGGCAAGCTGGGCTTGGAGAGGGGCTGACAGCCCAGAGGAGGCAGGGGAAAGGAAGCAGCAGTACTTGTGTTGCTGCCTTTACAAACTAGGACGAACTGGTTCACGCCCATCTCTGCTGCCGCCTTTATGAACTGGTTCACACCCATCTCTAATGTGTTCTCCTAAGAGAAGTCCGAATAGTCAAAGCTATGGTTTTTCCTGTCGTGATGTATGGAAGTGAGAGCTGGACCATAAAGAAAGCAGACCGCCGAAGAATTGATGCCTTTGAATTGTGGTGCTGGAGGAGGCTCTTGAGAATCCCCTGGACTGCAAGGAGAACAAACCTATCAGTTCTAAAGGAAATCAACCCTGAGTGCTCACTGGAAGGACAGATCCTGAAGCTGAGGCTCCAGTACTTTGGCCATCTAATGAGAAGAAAAGACTCCCTGGAAAAGACCCTGATGTTGGGAAAGTGTGATGGCAAGAGGAGAAGGGGACGACCGAGGATGAGATGGCTGGACAGTGTCTGCGAAGCAACCAACATGAACCTGACACAACTCCGGGAGGCAGTAGAAGACAGGAGGGCCTGGCGTGCTCTGGTCCATGGGGTCACGAAGAGTCGGACACGACTAAACGACTAAACACACAAGAGGGGGCAGAGGAAGAGAAACGAGGAGCAGTGGTTGGAATTGCCACGCAGAAAGGGAGGTGCAGGATGAACTGGTTCACGCCCATCTCTGCTGCCACCTTTATGAACCGGTTCACGCCCATCTCTAATGTGTTCTCCTAAGAGAGGGCAGAGGAAGAGAAACGAGCAGCAGCGGTTGGAATTGCCACGCAGAAAGGGAGGTGGGGAGGTGGAAGACAGCTGCCCCGTGGTGGGAATGGGGAAACCACAGAGTGGTGGTTGCCCCTGAACTGTCTCCACAGCTAATATGACCTTGGTTCGCCTTAGTGACAAGACACCTCCCTTGGCTGAAAATGCTGCTGTTAAATGCCAGCTGTGTGAAAGGAAAGGCAGCGGCCGCCCACGGCTGGATCCTGGCGGGAGGGCCAACGTGTTGCTTCGATGCACTTCGATCACCCTGTACATTTTAAAGAGAACCAGCAAAATGGCTCCAATTATACAGCGCGTGCTAGGTAAAGCAGCTCCAACTGCAGGAACATGCTATTTGCACCCTACTTTGCAAAAGGAAAGGAGACATAAATGTGTTCTGCGATGTGGCTTCCCACCGTCTCTTGGGGTTATTCTCGCTTGCCTGGAATCCTGCGGGTGTCATTTTTGGGGAACGCTGGCCTCTCGCTTGGGGGCCCCCTTGAAGCCTGGGATGTGCACATTATTGCTGACTGATGGGGCTGAACAGGAGCTGGGGTGGCGAAGGCACAGGTGGTATTACAGCCTGCTGTCATTTGCAGGTGGCAAGGCAAGGCAAGGAGAGAGAGGTTGGGGGTCCTGGTCACGCAGAGCCCTGGGTGGTGCCAAGACCAGGTTCTCCGGCTCCGATAGACTTGAATCTCCCCCAAGAGTGGGAGCCCTTTGTAAAAAAGCAGATTTCCACCCCAACCAGATGGCTTCGTGAGGCTTGCTGTGGTGATCAGCCCTTCGTCCATGTTGGCATGGGGCCTGGGGAAGCCAGACGGCAAGATGGTGAAGTCATAAACGGCCACGGCTGCTATTTTGGAACTCTTTCTCTGGAGTAACAAGCCTCTGCCCTTCCTGGTGACGAGCCGTTGACTCACTCTGTTCTGGAAATGCATCAGCAATATTTCTTGATTCAATCAACCATCATCTCTTCCCCCTGCCCTTCCTCTGCCTCTCAACCTGTCTTTCACTGCTGATTTTCACGAAACATACTCCTCTCCGAAGGGTGGGTACCGAGGAAGTACCAAAGAGTAGGAACTGCTGCCCGAAAGAAGCAGGAGACCCAATTTTCCATCCAGCATCTTTAGTCTGGCCCTCAGTTTGGGGGATCAGAGGTTTGCCATGCCTGCCGGCAACTTTTCGGATGCAAAGGTGCCAGTGCTATCTGTCTGCGGCCGGATTCCACCTTCTCATGCCTGTTGCTTTGAATCTTTCGGGGAAATCAAATTATTAACTGTGAAACTTCCACTGTGACCTGCAGGGCT